CAGGGGTCTTGCCAATTTTGAGGAATAATATTATGTATTAATAGGAGATAGGATTTCATTTTAGTAAAGGGCAATTTTGCTTATTAAACGTTATTTAGTTAATCATTCATTAGTAAAATTACAGTATTATTGATTACTCGGTGACAAAAGTCGGGGTAATCAAGGTCGGGGTAGTCAAAAAATTAAGGTTTATCCTGAGCCCTGCCCAATCTGTAAGTTGAATCCCATATGTTTTAATACACAAAAATGCGGTTACATGGACCATTATTCCTGTACATTCTCAAGAACTTTCCATGTAAAGAAACCTAAAAAAACAGGATAGAGTAAATCAATCGTGCACTGAACCAAGGTCGGGGTAATCATATTCTTATCTCGATAACTCCGAAATCCTGCGACGAGTTGCATTACCGATCACCTCGGCACGCAGGCCACCACTAAAGGTTCACGGGGGAGGATAGAGCTCGTTTCTAAATTGCGTAGCTAGGGACGTAGGCGCACATTAGTGACGTGTCGGGGTAATCACGGTTAACGCCCGGACACAACTTCAAATAGTTATTTTACAAAACCTTTTAGTCATATAGTTATATCGTATTTAATTTATCAATGTTTATTTAATCAGTAATCGATTACATAAGCATTGAAAGCGGTAATAATAACGGATTAATTTATACGAGCAAATTTGTTCTGAAATCGGGAGCGCGGACACGTCGTGGTAATCAATTTTTGACGACTTACGATTTTTTCTAAATTACTTAATTAACTATTATTAACTATCTCTCTGGTTTAACAACAAGAACCAAAGTTATACTATTAGATAAAAATATTTGTTACTAAAATATTATGACATTCGGGTACTTTTTGGCCCCGGACACGTGATTTTCTTGGCCGGTGGAATGACCCATTGATGCTCTAGTGAAATACCTTTATTTTTTTGTTTATTTCCTTCTCATACGTAGTTCCTTTAACCAATCACAATCAGACCTGTAAGTAAGTAGGTACTTATTAATTAAAAATCTGAAGGTTACAATTTACATAACTGGTGCATTATTCTCCTTTTCTATTCACGGCCTCATTCAAGAGTAGCCTTTAATATTATGCACTGCTTTTCATATGTGTTGTAAGGGTTGACAAAAACCAACAAGACAGTAGGTAAAGCATGATTTCAATTTGTAGATGTAGAGTGTTAATTATCTTAAGTCAGTAAGTCACCACCAGTTTTTTGTGCTCTTTTTAGTGCCCTCCAAGACACGATGCTATAAGTAATTGCTTAATTTGCTTAAGGGTTAATCCAGCACTGGTCTCCACCGTGTCTAGTTTGATAGGCCGTCAGCTACGTGCTTCATCAAATGTTATTTAAAGTTTCTTCAAGAACAATGGTTTTGTCTAGTGTCTCTATCAACAGTTAGATAGATATGGAATATAGATGATGTGGAACAGACTTGGCATCTTATGCAGTTCCGTTTACGAGTATGAGATTTTGTATGATATGGGTACTTCTCATTTACACTCAAATTTGATGGTCACACAGTAATAGTTCATAAACGGTATAAGTTATAACAATAACTTTGAAATCAGATGATAAAATATCTATTTAGCTACATACAAAATAAATTTTATCGTAATAGAAGCAAAATTAATACGAAAAAATCACATGAAACGATAAAAAACGGGGTCATTTTTCGCGTTCTCATCGTGTCACACCTTCGGTTGCAATGAAACATTTGGTTACTGCATTCACAATTTTCATTAAATTTGTGTGTATCATATACTAAAATCATCGTAATTAAATATACTTTCCACACAACAGTCGAAAAAATATCTTCTTATAATTATTTTGAATTGAGAAAGCGAAATACGTTGGTCACACGATTTTAGGTACCTAAAATTTTGAGTAATAATACAAAATTGCCGTTAAACCAAACACCAGAAACCAATCACAGCATTCTATTTGGTTAACGTCAGTCGCGCTTCGACCATTGGGGAGGTGAGATAGGTCGATCGTCGCTCCGCGAAAAAAATACGTAACTTTTTGTGATTATCCATAGACATACCGTCGCTTGCTTGAACAATATTTTCTACCTCTAAAATTTAAACAATTTAATTGAAACTTTGCCATTGAAAACTCAACATGTTAGACTTATTTGTGTAGTATTCAACTTGAACCGTTAAATTCAAATTTAAGGATAATTCATAAAAAACTAAAATTTTCGTCACCTTCGTGGCATCACCTTCGTGGTGTTTTATACACGAAGGTGATTTTAGGCCACGAAAGTGATTTCTTGCTTTGGTTTATTTTAAAATATAGTGACTGGTGTTTATGTTTTTACAATATTTTAATAACTAATAAATTATACGTGGTTGGTAGAGATCAGTACATCAATAAATAAATAAGGGCCTCGTATTTTTGTTGTCTGTCTGTATGTATGTCTGTATATGTGACTGTGTAGGTATCTGTTTGTAAGATAAATTTAATCTGAAGTTTGAGTTATAAAAGATTGGAATAAAAATTATTTTTGAAAAACAAGCTTTTAATGCGCTAAAAAGAATAAAATAAAATATAAATTGTTTCAAACCCATCAACTTATTACTTTACTCAATTTATATGACTAAAAGCTAATCGCGAGATTTACTTGTGCAAATGAGGAGAGAGCAACCCACAGGTTGAAAAACACTGATCTAGGCCAACGTACTCTTTAAGACGAATTAAATGAGCCCAAAGTCAACGGGGCTGTGTCGCTTTATTGCGGAGTTCCTATGGCCACCTTCCACTCCATCATCAGACTGGTTAACATATAAGTAGCATTGAAGTCATACTCGATGAGGTAGTGTCGCTTTAGTGCGGAGAATTCGTATGCCCACCTTTCAGCTCCATCATCAGACCTTAGTTATCATATGTGATTGAAGTGCTCGTCAATATGAATTACCAAACTTGACGAAGTTGTGTCGTTTTATTACGTATTTATTATGGCTACCTTCCAGCTCCATCATTAGACCCTAGTTATCATTATAGGATTGAAGTTCTCGTCAATACGAACCAAATGAGCCCAAACTCGATGAGGTTGTGTCGTTTCAGTGCGGATTTCCTATGGCCACCTTCCGGCTTCATCATCAGACCCCGGTTACCATATAGGATGGAAGTTCTCATCAATACAAATCAAATGAGCCCAAACTCTATGGGGTTATGTCGTTTTATTGCAGAGCTCCTATGGCTACCTTCCAGCTCCATGTCATCATAATATTGCATTGTCATCCGACTTACACATGCATGAAAAATTTCAGCTCAATGGGAAACCGGGAAGTTGGTCAATTTTAAGTTGCAAGATTTGCCTACACCAGACTTGTGAAAGTAAATAAAAGCTTGCAATCTAAATATATAAAAGGAGAAACTGACTGACAGACTGACAGATCAACGCACAGCCTAAACGGCTAAACGTAGGCACTTGAAATTTGGAAGGGACGTAGCTTAGGTACCGTAGAGGTGCACTAAGAAAGGAATTTCCGAAATTCCCACGGGAACGGGAATTAGCAGGAAAAACAGGATTCACGCGTACGAAGTCGCGGGCGGCCGCTAGTAATAGGTAATAAAATACGTGGCCCTCTGGCCAAAATAAAAAATATATTTTTGTTGAGGGACTGATAATCAGTAAGAGTTCTTTTTTATTGAGATACTGTTAATCCGTTTTTTGCTTCTTTAGCATTTCAGAATGCCACCAGTGTCACCCTTAAAACCAATTGCGTAGAATCTTATAACTTAGTAGATGATTTAATCGGTAAAATTGTATCTTGTATTTAAGTAGGTACCTATTTATATTATATCAAAATATTTTTTAAAAATATATTTTATTTAAAAATAGGTACTTTTATAAACCACACATGATTACAAACACGTTGGCCTAAAAGCATAGTTTATTTACAGTAATGTTATTGCTATTTATCTATGAAAATAAGACAAAATATGTGTTATATAAACACTTAAGAGTCATTTACAGTAGTAAAGTTTGAAAAAAATATTGCTGTGAAATACAGAATCACTTTCGTGGCATCAAAAAATTCAAAACGTTGAAGCTTCCAAACGAGACTCACTATTTGACTGATTTACTGAGAATACAATCTTTACATCAAGCGCTACAATTTTTGTTTACAAAAAGTTCAAATAAGTTAGAAATAAAATTCGCCACGAAGGTGACGATGAGAACCGTGGCGATGAGAAATACCCATATACAAATGTAATTTTCATTTTGAATAGCTTGTACTATAATGCTACCTGTTATAGTGAGGTAGGTATTTGTAAATGATATTTATTTTGACAGCCACATCGACAACCTTACAGTGGGATCGTCGGAACTGGTTGAAAGTGACAGCGGCCGGCCTCGCGACACTTGCGCCAATGTCAACCGGAACCTGGCCCATGTAATCGCCATGGGCATTGCGTCACTTCCGGATTTTCGGGAAGAAAAACCCTTCTCAATGAAAATTATAGTACTGAGTATAAGTATAGAGTAAGTTACCAGTAGGTTAATATAAGCACAAATAACGTAAATGAGCCCAATTTTATTGTTTACAAATCACATATAACTACCTCTAGGAAGTAGCAATGTAACATTCTGAACATCTTGTACCTACTACCCTTTATTGTTGGAACTTCTGCAACATTGCGAAGTGAATAAATGAATATGAATACCTAATAGAAACTTCAACGTGTCAAAATTCATTAAGGATGAGTATAATTATAAATTATCAGGGAGATCTAGTTACTATACCAAGAGAAGAGCAATTAAAATGCGTAACTCCTTGCGATAATGGTTTATAACATAGATTTCAAAACCCGCTACTTCACTGGACTTAGCTTCTGAATGATACATTCATGTAAAAATACCATTCAAGTTTCATGCAATACTTATTTATAACATTTTCCTGGGAACTTTCCAAATGAATTTCCCTATGAGTACCTACCTAAATCAAGCTTTTTTATAATTATTATCTTAATAAGATTGCTGTCATGAAATCAGATGTTCAAAAATTGTTTTGCTCGAAATCAAATTTAATTTTAAAACGTTACTGGCGTATTCGTGTCGGTCACTCATTTGTTTCCTTTAATTTCGACGAATTAGCAACATCAATAGTACGTCTCCAGTATGTATCGAATAGCAGCAGCGAGGGTAGCGGATGCTACAGAAGTTACATGCCCGTCACATAGTCCATCCATTATTCTGTGGTCCAAGTTCTTAGCTATTTTCCAGATGGGCGGGGTTCTTGATAACCTGGATCTAGCAGGTGCCTGAGTCAGCCTTTGCCCAAAACAGCCGTATTCAGTTTGAAAACGGAGGACGTTTGAAAGCCACGATCGTTTCAGGAATTGGGGGTGGCCGTCCAAAGTGCAGAGACCCACTAAAACAATAAAATTGGTAAAGATTAAGGTTCCTTCTCATAATTATTGTAATATGAACCTAAATTCTACGAAACAGTCGTCTAAAAATTTCAGATTTGCAGGTTTATTTCAAATACCAATCTATCTATCTAAATATATAAAACTCAAAGGTGACTGACTGACTGACATAGTGATATCTATCAAAGCACAGCCCAAACCACTGAACGGATCGGGCTGAAATTTAAGTAAGTAAGTAGATGATATGACGTAGGCATCCTCTAAGAAAGGATTTTACAAAACTCCACCCCTAAGGGGGTAAAACGGGACCCACGCGTACGAAGTCGCGGGCCGCCGCTAGTGTTAGATAAAGCAAAGCACTGATAAAGTTTAACTGGTGTTAAGCCTCATCATCTTATTTAACAAATGTCAAAAATCTGTTAAACTCCATAAAAAACACCGGTTATCTTTATGGTTACAGTTTAAGTTAGGTGGTGCAACTCAGTCCAAGTCTTAACTAATTTTTCTAACTCTACCTTATAAAAGTAGGCACTTACTTTGTTCTAAGAGTAGATCGACAGCCTGATAGTCATTATTAGCAATAAACTCCGCCTCACTGTAAGCAGTTTTGCAGAACTTTTTAGTCAGTGACTCGTCTTGCTCCTTCGAAAATATACTGCAACCTCTACTGTGCCTTGCATGTAGTAGGAACAACAACCTAAATAAATACACATCACCATCATCATTAGGTCATTTAGTCTCCATAAATAATACACATAAATAATAAATAAATACACCAGTTAAAATAATGAACACAGAAAATAAATGAACATCTAAGAAGTGAGGTGTTTAACGCCCGTATTCAAAAACATTACTATGAGGTCTCAAAGTGCACGTGGACACACGGTGACAGACGAACCAATCACAGAGCTCTATTCAACGCTGTGCGTTCGATTTGCTGCTTCACCTAAGCAAGCATCGTTTGTGAATACGGGCGTAATTCTACTAACCTGTGCGAAAGAGCGTATCCAAAATCTGTCCCATTCATGAGCATGTCATAGCAAGGTTCATAAACATCGCACCTAGTTTGAATGGAGTCTTGAATCTCATTATTTGCCAGAGATAACATGCAAAGATCTGAAAAAGACTTAAAACATCCATCATCTCTCTCCAAATAAAAATGGTGTGTAACATCTACCATGGCAATTAGATAAAAAACTTGTAATGTCTAATCGTCATCTTTGAGCCATAAAACTAAATAAAAGAACTTAATGCCCCTTCAAAATATTACTACTATTGCTATTAACTGTTTTTCTTTATTATCTAACGTGATAACTTTCTCATTTCTATGGCTCTATAGTTACTCTATCAAATCAATTGAGTACATAAAGGCACTTTCATTGGTCTCAGTTATTGATGTTTGGTAATAAAACTCATTCTTTTACGATTTCCAGATACGATTTTTAAAATTTTAATTATAAAACATGAGTCAGATAAGTATTTCGAAGTCTGTAATAAAGATAGCTAATTTATTTTTATTTTATGTATTTATAGATACTTTTACACGGTATGTGATAGGTACTATCCTTGATACAGCCAACTATCTGTATTGTGCTATTCTACTGATCACATAGCAAAGTCGACTGACTTAGTCGGTATCAACATCATTTATTTATTTAAAGACTTTATTGCACACACAACAATGTTCTGTACAAAAAGGCGAGCTTAATGCCATACGTCATTCTCTACCAGCTGACCTTGAGCAAAACAGAGATATTTAGTAGGCGGTGCTAAAAAGCTACAAAAATGTACACAATATAATACATAAAATATTATAATATATATTTATACAAAATATATACATAAATACATACATATAATTTATATAAAATGGATGACGAGAGGTAAGGGAGGATAGGAGAGGATAAGGGAGAAAAGGAAAGAATAAGGGAGATCAAGACGACATGATGCGTTCAAGAAAATGTTTGCGCACAGAGTGTTTGAAAACAAACTTACTAGGAGCCTGCCTGATGTTCTCGGGAAGAGCGTTCCAAAGGCGAATGGAATTGAGGAGAAATGAATTAGAGAGGAAACCAGTGCGGTGGGAAGGAGTGGAGAGAAGGAGCGTGTTGGACGAACGAAGTTGACGTGCGTGCGTCGAACTCAGAAGTTTAAACTGTGTTTTCAAATAGGAAGGGGAGTTACTTAGAGTCATTTAAGATGGTAAAAAGGGTGGTAAGGATTCTAACATTGCGCCGTGCAGGGACAGGTAGCCAATGGAGCTCAGACCGGTGGGAAGAGACATGGTCATATTTGCGAAGACAAAATATGAACCGGATGCAATTGTTCAGTAGGCGGTCCAGTTTGTTGAGGAGAACTTGATTAAGGTCCGGATAACACACATCAGCATAATCGATGACCGGAAGAATAAGAGCGTGGACAAGCGAAATCTTGGTTTTAACAGGGATCATTCAAAGGCGTCGGGAAGAACAACTCAACAAAATTGATGATTACATGATGGAAGTCTATTCTCACCTGATAACTTTGGTGATGGATTCCACCGGTCCGTATCATCTACATTTTTCATGTACCTGGACCACGTAAGAGACTTTCCTGAAAATCGCTGGCTGGACTCATCTGATTCCGGTGACAATTCTAAATGAAACCTTCGTAATCTCTTCATCCATTGGGTTTCGTTGGAAAATAATGTTGTTACTAGAAGTATAATCCACAATTATTTATATTTTAAGAGCAGCAAAACTTAAAATAAATTACACAACAACAGTAAAGGTCTAAGTAACACAATCTACTACTTCAAATTATTAAAATTTTACTTAAATAGGTAACACGATACTGATGTCTGTATAAGTATAAAAAGCGTTATTTTATTTCAATTATGGTTAACTACGGTAGGTACTTTAATTGTTGGTACGTATAGTCTTAAGAAAATTAAATAGGTAAAAAAGGAAAATCATTTTAGTAACTTAGTCTAAACTTTAAAGGTACGCACTTAACTTATTCGATCTCTCCTTTGAATCATGATTTCCACTGACCATGTAGTCAAAGAAATCGATTAAATTGTCATTCTCTTTCAGTAGTAAAGTTATGTAAGTTTGAACATGTTTAGGTATACGGTTTCGCTTGATAAGTAGAGCTTTTTTTAAGTTTACTGAAAGAATAAAAATACAAAATTAGAAATAGTAACTAACGATGTTTTAATGGCCCTATATGACCCTATAAATGATGTCTTATAAGAGATAATAATTTGATAAAATGAATATTGTAGAGTCATAGGGAAACGCGTGTTTAGAAAAAAACATACCATTAATCAGAAAGAGCCCAAACTCAAAATTCATATCCAAGTCGACCTTGTGTTTTGAGCAAAAATATATTGTTCGTCTCAAAGATTTCAAATAAGTTAACAAGTCACTTTTTTGCGGCAAAATTTTAGACACAACTGAATCTTTATAATCATAATGAACACCATTTTTATAAGAGACAACTGTCGTTAAAATTAAGGCAAGTAACGTTGAAGTCACAGCCACGTGTAACTGAAACATTTTACACGCGAAAATTACATTTTGCGCTGAAGTTTCAGGCGCAGAATTCAAATGAAAACTGTTGTTTTCCCGCGAGCCGCCACTGGTTTTATCTCAAGTGATTAGGCTAGGAAAATGTGTATTTACGACGTCAATTTTTCACGCAGACGCTTCTTGATTTGTTTTTGTCTTAGACTAGCGATTTGCCCCGGCTTCGCGCAAGTAGCGCTATGAGCTTTAGAAAAAAATGCAACAAGTTTTGTAATGTGTTAGGAGTTAATTATGTGGTAAGAAAATGTCAGCAAAAACGGATTATCGTATAAGCCAAAATGGGATCGAACCCTGTACCTCTAGTACGAAAAACTTTCCCCCCTTTGCCCCCTATATTATAGCCGCCCTAGGGGGCGCTGTTTAATTTTTCATACAAAATTTTTCGATGACACTTTGAATACGCAAACGAAACGAACTCGAAAGTTTTTCGTACTAGAGGTACTGGCCAGTTCGAACTTTCGTCATATCATTAAAAAAACCTAGATATTTTTTTAACAACTGAATGATAGGTACTCTGTATTTTAAACATACCTAACTACCTATTATTGGTTGTTTTTATTATTTTGTTGTATAAGGTTGTTATCAGGGTTTTTATTTAAATTAAGATTAATTTTATCTAAAGGCTATAGCAGAGTTTATTAAAAAGAAATTGAGTCACTTGAAGAGCTCGCATAAATTGTGGTGGGATAAGCCGCGCCGCGGGCGGGCTTTCGGTCAGCATGATTGGATTTGTTCCCTGGAATAAACAATCATTTGGACACTGTCTACTTTTTATCCATTACGAGAAATACGAGTAGGTAGTCTTTTGGAATTTGGCTGACGAAATACCTACACAAGTAAGTTTGTAGGCACACAAGAACAGAAAAAACGATCATAGCAAATGTTGTGATAGGGATAGAGAGATGCGATTTTTGGTTTTACAAAGGTAATACGATAGATAATAATACAAAGTAATAAAAACCACCTGTTATAGGGGCATTTATTGGAGAAATTTTTAGTATTGCCTGTTATTTATCATTATTACTGTTTATATTTTATCAGGATTTACCTCTTAGTTCAAAAGTTATTACGTTTTCTTTACAATAAGTAATCGGAAGAAAAAAAACTTTTTTTTTAAAGTCTTAAAAAAATTTGACCTCTTTTTTGTCGATAAAAAGAGGTCTAGTTTCATCTATTTTCATATGTACACTTTATCGTGACTCACACTTTATACACAAACTCAAAGTTGCACAGCGTGCTATGGAGAGGGCTATGCTCGCGGTGTATCTTTACGAGATCGAATCTGAAATGAGGAGATCCACCTTCAAGCGGGCGCGCGGCGTCGAATCGACCGCGCCTAACACATTTTCGTTCATAACTTTTCTTTTACATGTTACACATATTTCTCATTTTTAGTGGCCTGTCGCTTACTCATTGTGAGCGAAATAAAGACCTTATCTCAGCTCTCCGCGCTTTTCCCACCCCATGGCTTGTTATTGTTTTAGTCGCGGCGCCGGCGTCGAAAGCACGCCACGCGCCTGTCGTCGAAAAGGTTACGCGCGACTCTCTATGCGATATAACATTTCTTCGTCTATCACCCAATATTATTGAATTAAGCTTGCAATACTGTTTCTTCTTATTAAATAAGTCGTAGACTGCTAGTACAAAGTGAAATAACAGAGGCATTATTACGAAAAGACGAAAAAGAGAGTGAATCGGAGCTCAGAGACCAAGCCAAACTGAGCCAAAATTATAAAATTATGTTTTATCATTATTTTGCCATTTTTATCGGTTTTACCAGGTATATGAACTATTTTAAAACATTTTGTGTTCAAAAATTAGTTTTTGATCCAAATAATATTTTCGTCATGTTAATTGATTAAATAATAGTTTATAGCAAACCGGTTACTACGTGCCTATCGCGCCGGCATCACGCTACGCTACCCGATATGGGCATAGCTCGAATCCCGCGCGAGCTACACCCCGCGCGCCGCGCCCCGCTAACGGTTACAGCGCTCTAGAATTTTCGATCGGCGTCCCGCCCATAGCCGCGACGCATCGATCGCCAGTACGCGTTCGCGCTCCGCACGTTACACGCGCGCGCGCTGCTCATATCTGGCGCCCAACGTAAAATATGTATAAGTGACCTACAGTGACAGTGTAAAAGTTATTCGTTCTCCGCAATGCATAGAAGAAGCCGAAACGCGTGTGACAGAGAGAATGCGGCGCCGAATCCCGCATTTCCCAGCCCTCTGTCGCCCACGCCGCCGACGCAGGATCGCGATGAACACCATGAAGTTCCAACAAGCCGCGATACGACCTACGTTCCCGCTTCTCACTTTTCTACTGAAAACGTAGCCAGCATAATAGAATCATTGCAAAGATCGCAGACGGAAGCATTCAAAGACCTCCTGTTATCTGTGACACGAATTAACACGTCGACACCGGCCCCAGGGGAAGGCACCCTGGCCCGCTGTAAGTCACAATTTTCCGGCCACCCGAACGAATCGGTAGAAGCGTTTATAGACGCCGTCGAGGCGTACAGCGACTGTGCTCAAGTGTCCAGCACTAACATCGTTCGCGGCCTCGCATTTCTCTTCAGTGGTGATGCTGCTACGTGGTGGCTTGGCATCAAGAACACCATCACATCGTGGGACGAGGCCAAAGAGAACCTGATAAGTGCCTTCGGTAGGGTTGCCAACCGTACTATAATATATAGTATTGTACTATATTTCGGGTCTGCGTACTATATACTGTTGAAAAAATATATAGTACGTAAAAATACTATATTTTCAACACCGACAAATCTAACAAATAAATCCTACATTTAAAAAAAATAAGAACGCGCCTTTAAAGTAACTTTTAACTGTTAAGTTGGCTAAGTCATATAACCTATTGCGCACGTACCATTTCCTTTGATGAGGTCCATGAACTTACCCGATAGGCGATAGCGTGTATCCGAACGCTTGCGTAACGAACTTCATCATTTCAGCCATAGGACGTCCACCACTGCTGAACATAGGCCTCCCCTAATGCTTTCCATGTTGATCGATTGGTAGCGGCCTGCGTCCAGCGCTTCCCTGCTACCTTTACGATGTCGTCGGTCCACCTTGTAGGTGGACGTCTCACGCTGCGTTTTCCGGTACGCGGCCTCCATTCCAGAACCTTTCCGCCCCATCGCACTTAACGAACTGGTCAATATCAAATTGACAACGTAAATTTTAACGTCGTCAAACGATATTTTGGTCTGCTTTATTTATCGTCAGAATCGTTTTCAACTAGATGTTGTTATTTCTTTTGAAAAGTTGAAATCTTATATATTTAGGTATGGAAAGTGGTAGTGATAACGAAAGTGCGTCAAATTCTGTTGCGCCGCTAACGCCGATTAAAAAACGAAAAATACCAAAGAGACTCCAAATAAAATAAACCGGAGTGGGAAAGAGAGTATGACTGGATTACTGAAGATCCCCAAAATATACAGTGTGAGTCACGATAAAGTGCACATATGAAATATGTGAAACTAGACCAACCTATTTTTTTTTCAAGAAAAAAGAGGTCAAAAAATTTTTGAGTTTTTTTTTTTTATTTTTTTATAGATTTTTTTTTCTTCCAATTACTTCTCGTAAAGAAAACGTAATAACTTTTAAACTAAGAGGTATAAAATAAAAACAATAATAATGCTAAATAACAGGCGATACTAATAAAATACATAAAATACCCAGAAAATGCCAACAAATAATAAAAAATTACACTTTTTGAAAAAAATCTGCTTTTAAATTCGTGTTTTTTTGGTTATTTGATCAATTTCTCCAAAAAATGCCCCTATAACAGTATTACTTTTGTAAAACTAAAAATTGCATGTCTCTATCCTTATCACAACATATTATGTCAATTTTAAAATCGGCGCTAGAACAACGTAAAAAATATATATTTTTTGGTTACAAAACAAAAAAAGTATTGCAATCATTAGAAGCAAAATCCCCCCCACAGAAAGTTATGGAATTCAAAAGATATTTTTGCTATTTCTTGATAAATGTTTAGACTATCTTAATAAATGGTTTGATTTCAGTGAAAGCAATTGGTTAATTAAAATCCAAAAATTAAATTTAAAAAAGGAGGTTTCATTTAATGACTGTGAGACAATATTAGAAGTTCTAAATTTACAAGAAAAAATATTTGAAGTAATTTCATTCCTGCTCTCTATTGCCGCCACTTCGGCAATTACAGAAAAGATATTTTCGTTTATGAATTCGAAGTGGTGAGAAGAAAGAAACAGAAGTAGTGTATCATTAATAAAAAATGAGTTTTTGATTTATATCAATTTAAAAATTGAATGTGACAAAGCATATGACACTTTTTTTATACAAAAAACTGTTACACAGCGCAAGAACTACAAAAAAATATAGTTTTTATAAAAATAAATGATTAAAAATGTATTTTTTTTTTTGTTTTTCGAATAAAATACTATATTTTTTTTAATTGTACTATATTTTTCTACACCTTATTTTGGAAAATACTATATTTCGCTGATGAAATGTTGGCAACCCTAGCCTTCGGTGACCGCCGCCCCCCACACCGCATTTACCTACAGCTATTCGCGAGCCCGCAGATGCACAATGAAAACACGGACACATTCATAGCGCGCAGCCGTTCCCTTCTATCGAAAATATCGGATAGAGACGTCTCGGAGAAGGCCAGGCTAGACATGGTGTACGGCCTCCTACACACTAAAATCCGGCAAAGATTACGCCGTGAAGAATTTGCCACTTTTCAAGACCTATTACGTCATGCGCGCAATATAGAAGACAGTCAGGGCGAGGCAGATACGTCGAGAGGTACTCCGACGCCGCGCACGGCACCCCGCGCGAGCACAACATACGCCGGTCCCCGAGCGCCCACTTATACGGCGCCGGAATCCGCCATACGTGCCCCGCAACCGCCGCCTGCCGCCGCCGCCAGCCGCTATCCGGCCCCCGCAGCCGCCGCCACCCGGGCGCCGCTATAGCAAACCGGTTACTACGTGCCTATCGCGCCGGCATCACGCTACGCTACCCGATATGGGCATAGCTCGAATCCCGCGCGAGCTACACCCCGCGCGCCGCGCCCCGCTAACGGTTACAGCGCTCTAGAATTTTCGATCGGCGTCCCGCCCATAGCCGCGACGCATCGATCGCCAGTACGCGTTCGCGCTCCGCACGTTACACGCGCGCGCGCTGCTCATATCTGGCGCCCAACGTAAAATATGTATAAGTGACCTACAGTGACAGTGTAAAAGTTATTCGTTCTCCGCAATGCATACAAGAAGCCGAAACGCGTGTGACAGAGAGAATGCGGCGCCGAATCCCGCATTTCCCAGCCCTCTGTCGCCCACGCCGCCGACGCAGGATCGCGATGAACACGAAGTTCCAACAAGCCGCGATACGACCTACGTTCCCGCTTCTCACTTTTCTACTGAAAACGTAGCCAGCATAATAGAATCATTGCAAAGATCGCAGACGGAAGCATTCAAAGACCT